TTGGAAATCCTTGCAGATTTCAACAAAGCACAGTGAACAAGTTGTACATAAATCATTGTATTATCAGCACCCATGTATTTTGCGGAAATATCAGTGATTAACAAAAGATTGCATCCCTATGTGAGTAGTAATCAAAACTGGTTATAAGTTGAGATAAAATAAATAAGATTATGATATCGTAATAAAAAAACTTCAAACTCATTAAATTAATAAGAACTGAGGAAAGCATAGAAAGCAGTATGAAATTGACCCGATAATGGCGAATTGGTACAGTTGACCTGAGGTTTTTCGGATGAACGCGTCCGAAGGGCGGAATTGACTTGACTATATGCGTTTGAATTAATGTCATTAACACGACAACAGTCAAATTAGCCGTATGTTTGGCACCAAATAATTGGATCCATTGTAAAAAATCGTGTCCTTTCTAGTTTATGATTCAATATTTACAGCTACTTGACTACCGTCTCTTGCGGTGTCGTCTATAGTAGATTCTTGGACGTTACGTTCGCGTCGTAGGCCACGTCTTGGATTTATTCTGTGGCTCTTCGCGTCTTCTTTGACGGGGCTTCGGATGACATAGCTGGTAAATTAAATGTGCAATTTGTTTTTACCACAGAAAAGGATTTGCTCACATAATATCTCCTGCTTCCAGTTGCAAGTCTGAGGCTGGGTTGATTATGACGAACGAGATCGTGTTAGTTTTGTCAAATCCATCTCCATCATCTAGCACTGAAAAACTAGTTATCCTAAAAGATGACAGACAAGAGGAAGAAAGATACCAAAAAAAACTATAGAGTTTAAGCATTTCTTTGAAAGTAACTGTCAAATCACCTAGTTCAGCATATACAGAATTAGTTCTTTTGAAACAAAATCATTAGTCCCTCCATTTGCATGAATGCTTTCCGTAGTTTTTTAGAATTCGCATACATAGGTAGTTGCACATCACATATCAACTCTAATAATGAAATTATTAGAAGGTAGAATAGCGTTGACAGGGCTTTCATCAGTAG